CCATGACGAACAGGTACAGAATTGTATCATAGCTGGGTTATTTTTTACTATCTTAACTAGCACACTATCATATTGTTGATTGCAGTGTGAATTCAGGTCGCACTATCGTTGAAAATGATCGTGGATTTCGAAAGAAGTCGCGAGAAAAAATGCGACGCCACGACGTGAATATCAAGGTATGTCGGCATTGATAACTTTTTACTGGAGTCGACTGAACTAACGAGTTGATGTATCCTAGTTTGAAATGCTCGTTAATGTTTTAGGACTCGCCAGTCGCGCTTGCAAGAAGAATATTCTGCACGAGGCAGCATCTGCTATCAAAGGCTTGAAAAGTGAGTGCAACCAGCTGCGTCGTGAACGAGATCGACTTCAGCAAGAATTGAACAATTTGGCTACATATCTACAGAGCACGGAAAGTAGACGTATCTGACGTCATAATATTAGAGCTGTAAAAGCTACAGCTGTGTGTTAGAGATAAAAGTGTGTGAAGTTTACACAAGTAAGTAAAGTACTTCTACCAGTTATGCGCTCCATACGCTTCTCAACCCTGCATGGCCATAACTGGATGGCTCTGTTTCTAGATGCAGGTTCATTTTCACGGTATAAGCCAGGGTCTCCATCAATAATAACGTCGTTACGGTTACTACTATGTTTTTTTTTTAAGTATTCTTTCATGAGTTGACACTAGCACATGTTGATATTTCCAAAACCGAAATTCGTGCTCCAACTTCAAAAGGAATTACTCAGTTGAAGACTAACTAAAAGTGCTCAAATTATCCGTGTAGTGGTTCGTTTTACGAAGTACGTACAGCCCTATAAGAATTAATTCGCAAGTTTGACTTATGTGGCGACCACCATCCATGACCATACAAAATTCAAGTGTTGCCCATTAATATGTGGAGTCATGTGCATGTTATCCGAAGGGCTATTAGCACCAGGAGGGGTTTTGGTGGGAATTGAAAAGCGTTTCGGGGATATATTAAATTATAAAACCTAGAGAGGACCTGGCAATGTGAGGTTAACGTACGCAGAATGGCAGAACTTGGTGCTGCAAGCAACCACGGACGCGGTGAACGAAGAAAAGACATCGATCGTAGAGCCGGCAGGACCCATGGTCGATCACCCGCAGTACGATCCGCCGAAGAGCAATTTGAAACGCCCCGCGGCAGTCAGCAACCAGATCGCGAAGGTGTTTAACCAGAAGGAAGACGAGAATACGGCCGAGGAGGTGTCCAAAGGCTACGCAACCGAAGGCCCGATTAAGACGAAGCCGATCAAGAGTGTCTAGAAGCTGCCCACGGTGAGTCAACCTTTGGAGGACAATCAGGTCTGCATCAGCGAAGGGGGCGAACACTTTGCGGAGGACGTGGACAGCCATATGGCGGTCCTGCCGGAGATAACGATGACCACGGGAGATGTGAAGCTCCAAGATTTCCGAATCGAGAATGACGGCGAGAACACGCCGGAGGAAGTAGATCGCCTAAGGAAGATCATCTGGAGCCGACAACACCTGTTGCTTGGGAAAGGAAACGCACTGCCACCCGCCGCGCGAGGCGTCGTCTGCAATATCGATACTGGGG